AACTTGATTTCGGTTTTTTTGATTTATGTACATTTCCATTGTAATTGTTAATGAAAAAGCAAATAATAGTTCAATTTGTATTGMCCAATGGCCAATCCAATACATTGTCGTTATTCATATGCTATTTTTAAGTTATAAGTTATAACGGGCTACAACGTTTGTTAAAAACTTAAAATACTTTAWGTCATAATAGGGATATTATATTAATCATTTTTTTATAGAGCTAAATTATTTGAAACGTTATTTCACATTTTGCTGTAATAAATCCTAATGTATACTACGACGGCCCTGCATAAACGACTGAACATAAAAACGATTTAATTTTCGGTCCGAAAATAAATAATAATAACTACATTAACACCGGGCAATGTTGTATAATAGCGTAACATAACATATTATAGCCCATAAAGACGCACATACGACGAATAACAGCTGTCATTACCGTGGCTAATGTCCGAGCATAACTACACCGTATATTGACAGACAAGATCAGAAACGGAACAAATAAGTGTTCGGAAATTTGTCAACAAATACCCATCATAAATGTTATTATAATGTCTATCATACATGTTATAATGAACACTGACAAATCGTGAACTTGCGCAAGGTAAATCAATAGAAACAAATTTTTCGGGATTTCCTTATTATTTCCATGAAATTAAATATAGTGAAAACTCCTTTAACGGACACCTCTTAATAGCGGACACCTCCAAATAACGGACGGAATTTTGGGAACGGTGAAACGTGTACTCACTGTAATTCCCCTCTTAATATCGGACACCTCCAAATAGCTGACGACGTTTAAACGACCGAGAGTGTCCGGTATTTAGAGGTTTCACTGTAATATCTATGCGCAATCACTGCTTCAATTTCTTAAAGTGAAATTTTAAATATTTGCGACCTTGCAAACTATAGCAATAGCAAATTAGCAGACGGTCAATAATATTCTAATATTTATTTATATTTTGTACCTACAGTGAACGGTTAAAATGTAAAGAATTTTTCGATTTTTATTTTTTAACGTTTAAGAACGAACCATTTTAAATTTTCTCATACAAACTGTAGTCTGCACTGATACTGTTACTATGCGCAAAGTTTGTCTTGAAATTAAGAAAAAGTATATTGTATATAATAGTTACATATTATTGGTAGGGTACCTAGTACCTGCATATTAGTTTTCTTATAGTTTAGGTCAAAACGTTTTTAGAGATATTTCCTGCAGGATGACGATAAATGAATCACACTGAATACATACATACATATATATATATATATATACGAATTCCTCCGACATACCAGTCAGGTTAATAAATAACAGTATTGTGGAAACTTTTGGTGATTAACTGGTAGGTACCTCGTACCCATACCTACACACATTATAGTGGTGCAGTGCACTCGGTGATAGGTGCACGACGAGGAGCAGGGTCACTCGCTATTCGCCTAAGCACCGAAACTTCAACTGCGATCCGTACTCGAAATGTCCAGAGACAAATGTTCAGTTTTGTGTCGGAGAACCGGACGAGACGACGACGCATATAGGTAAGTAATGGGACGTRGTGTACACGCACACATAATAAGATTAATTGCTTTAGGCYGTATATAAGTATAATGCTGCAGCGCATGTTGCGTGAACTCACACGTGGACCATATATTATGRGTTAAAGTATTGTTATGAACGACGTACCTTTCCCACCAGAGCGCCAAAAACGATATTTCCGACCAAACGAACGTCATGTGTTTTAATACTGCCATTTTTTCCACCATGTAGTTGAGCACTTTGCTCGTCTGCAAGTGATAGTAGCCCTCGAACGTTCTCAGCCATCCCGGGTCGTTATGCGAATGCGGCACTACGATGATCTGGAAACGTAAAAACGGAAACGAAATTAAAATACAGAATATTATTAATTATATTATAATATACACAACGACAACAATATATAGTAATGTAAAATTCTAATAACATAATGTTTAATAATAATAAAAAAAAAAACGGATGAAAAATACGATGCACCCCGCAAGAGGTATGTGTGTGAGCGTGAGAAAGAGAAACCTATGTATAATATTTGCATAGAAAATATTATTATTATTTTCTTCGGGCTCTTTGTGTGATGTCAGAAACTCAGACTCCTTAAATCTGTGAAAAAGCCCTTATCATCTAAGAACACACAAATCGCTTTGAGCGCGAGTACATTTTTTTCTTG